AATATAAGTGTCCTAGAATAATGTTACAAGATCCAATCTGGGTCAGTCACTGGGACCAGAGGTTTAATATTCTGAGCTTTCAGACCCGTGCTGGAGCCCATCTTCAAGGGAACTTTTCTGTACTGGAATGTGTTATTGAATATTGCTGGATCTCAGGACACATCCCCAGCAGAAGTGGTATTCAGCAGGTTCTGGCCAATTCTGGAGAACCAGTAATGGAAATTTTGAGTAGTTTGGAGAAGCGGCAAATGCCACCTCTGACTGGAGAGTTTACACTATCTTTCCCCTGCCATGCCCACCAAGCCACACTCACAGGTAAGCTCACAGTAATAAAAAAAAATTGAATCCCACCACTGATCCCCAGCCTCTGAAGATGAAGTGGGCCAGGAACTGGTCTTCAAAAACCCAGAAAAGAACCTCAGTTAGATAGCTCAACAACCTAACAAGTGAGCCAAGAGTCAACATTCTCTATCAGATCAGAGACCTTGAGACTGAATTCTTAACATAAATACTGTTGTGGTATATACCAATAAAGCAGGTAGGGATATTTTCCTAGACTAATATAAACATACATAATCAACATAATTATATGGAAATGTAAAATCAGGCCTTTGTATCTGCTGACAAAGATATAAATAGTTCCTAAAATACTTAGGTATTCCATATGTGCCAAGCAGAAACATGTAAGGCCATATTACAGCTAAAAGCTTTAAAGACAAAATTGATGCTAGCCAGAAGCAAGAATAAATGGAGATCTCTATGTATCTTTGAAATGAAACTCAGCAGGTAAAATCATCCCTCATATCTAAAAAGACATGGCACATCAGTGTACTAAGGAAGTTTTTTTTAAAAAAAAATCCTGCTGCTTTCTTTCACACAGCTGTAATTATGTATGAATCTCTGGAGGAAAGGTCTTAAAATCACTGTCCTTACAGCATATTATCCATCTTGTAGCATCTTCACTAAACGACTGTAAATGTGGTAGCTTCTTCTGACACTATTCTTAGACATTTCTGCTTTTACATTGATTGCATAAAATGTGACCGTTGACTTTTCAATTAAGAAAATCAGTCTGTGTTCTCATCATTAATCCACGTAATTCCAATACATGGGAGACTTGCAAGGAAGTGAAAATAGAAAATTGCCTTTGGAATCAAGTATGGATCTCCTGTGTTCCTGAGAAACATTCTTTCTTTAAAAGACAAGAAGCAAGGAAAAGAAAGAGAAAAGACAATTCTGCTAGAAATACACTTTACTGGCATGCAAGTACTGTATGGCCTATATCGGTCCTCAACTGTATATAGCCATGAACATGTGTTCTTCTTCCAAGTCTATATGTGTCTTCTTTAGGGTTCACTTTCTTTGAAAGATCATGATTGGACTTCATCTTTTCACATGTATAAAGCCAAGTGTAAGAATTGTAACATTAAGATTCCTGAGACATGTTGTTCCCTGTAAGATGCTTAGTAACCTTTTTCTCTCTGTTTATTTAATGAGAAAAGGATTAGCTTTTTTTCCTCTTTCTCCATTTTCCATTTCCAGGCTATCTGAAATTGCAAGTCAACCTAGCTAATTCAATTTATAAAGGAAGATGACAAAATCTCCTCTTTCTGGGGTAACCAGCAGACCTATCAGTCCTATCTCTTCAAACCAGGATTATTATTATTCTTGTGCCATATCCGTCATTGGATGTTGGCGATCCTATTTTTATCAACAGCGACATGAAAAAGTGCTGTTGAGTTTTGTCCACACCAGCGACCAACGACCAACGACTCTAGGCATTTTCACATAACTGTTCTCATTTATTCCAAGTTTGCCTCAAGATTGATCTACCTGCAATTCAGTCTTAATCATCAAGGAGGTAGCTTTAGATGCATAATGAATCTTTCTGACCACAGCTACTAGTTCTAAAATTAACATTAGCCACACATTAGTTTCTTCCCATCTAATGAATATATGAGAAATTATATTAATCTAGATTAAGATTGGGCCAAATTCAAAGTCAGGGAATACAATAATACAATGGTAAGCAACGGTAGAGAGGAAGATCCAGCTTGAAAATTGCTCCCTGATTCATGATATGTCTTTCCTCTCCTGGTAACGAGAGGTAGACAAAGCCCCAGGAAAATAACAACTGAAAGCTTCAGAATTTAAAGCAAATTCTTAAGGTGTTCAACAATTAACACAATTCTATTTTTTTATTCTATTCCCCAGTAGAAAGAGGAAGGGAGAAACATTGCTTTAGAGAAGTCAATAATTTTACAGTTGTTGTTATTTCTAGAATGACAAGAAGGCTAAGCTTTGATCCTGTTTTGCTTGTACTAGAATAATTAAATATAAATGTGTCTGCTACTTATATAATGCTTTAAGGTAAGTAGGTAGCTATCTTATCCATCCATGTCTTACCCCCGCCTCCCATTCCAGCTGTATTCAAATGCAAGTAAATGCCTGATAGGACTAAATCCAGTTGAAACCCATGGAGCATGACACATTGCTAATTTGAAACTGTAGAATTTTCTAGGACATAATCAAACCTAATTTTCCATGAATTTAGAGCTATGTACTTTTTTGGTTGATACTCAGTAGAAAACAGGCACTTGATTTTTATAATGGGAAGAGAGCATCTCCTTCACTTCATTGTTTCTCAGAAGGAAGTGTTCCTTCTTCCATAGGGAAGCATGCACTGGATTATAGTCCAAACTGAGTTTTGTTGTACAGGTAATCCTTGATTTACAACCACAATTGAGCCAAAAGTTCTGTTGCTAAGTGAAACATTTGTTAAGTGAGTTTTGTGCCCCATTTTACATTTTTTCTTGCCAGAGTTGTGAAGTGAATCCCTGAATTTGGTAAGTTAATAAGTGAATCTGGCTTCCCCGTGGTCTTCGCTTGTCAGAAAGTCACAAAAGGGAATCACATGACCCTGGGACACTGAAACTGTCATAAATATGAATTAGATGTTGGTGGTGGTGGGACTCATCTCCGAGAGATGAGGTGGACTGGTTGCTTTTGTGGTGTGGAGACAATAACTTGGTCCTCAACATCAATAAGACCAAGGAGCTTATAGCGGACTATAGAAGGAACAGATCACAGACATCCAGCCCTTGCTTATCAACGGAGACCGAGTGGAGCAAGCGGCCAGTTTTAAGTTTCTGGGTGTTACCCTAAAAGAGGACCTGACCTGGGGTGCCCACATTGCAGCCCTGGTCAAAAGGGCCCACTAGAGATTATACTACCTGAGACTTCTCAGAAAACAACAACTAAATGAAAAACTGCTGGTGATCTTCTACCGCTGCACTATAGAGAGCATTTTAACATATTGCACCTCTGTATGGTTTGCCAACTGCACAGTGGCAGATAGGAAAGCACTCCAGAGGGTTAATGTCATTGCCCAGAAGATCATTGGTTGCCCTCTCCCCTCTTTGGAAGAGCTTTATAGCTCCTGCTGCCTTAAGAAAGTTCAGAACATTCTCAAAGATCCATCTCATCCTGGGCACCGTTTTTTTTGAACTATTACCATCTGGCAGATGGTACAGAATAATAAAAACAAGGACAAATAGGCTAAAAAACAGCTTCTATCCCAGGGCAGTAGTTCTGTTGAATTCTACTGTGTAGTACAATGAAGATGGTATTTAATTTCATTGTATGATGTGCAATGACAATAAACTAAACTAAACTAAACTAAACTAAACTAAACTAAACTAAACTAAACTAAACTAAACTAAACTAAACTAAACTAAACTAAACTAAACTAAACTAGATGCCAAGCACCTGAATTTTGATCACAAGACTGTGGGATGCTGCAATGGTCGGAAGTATGAAAAATGGTAATAAATGACTTTTTCTAGTGCCATTGTAACTTCGAACAGACTCACCGGCAGATTCAACCAGCAGCTGCAGCTTCTAGTTGTCTTGACTGGATGTCACAGCAGCATGGTTTGTTTTTTTTTCACAGCATCTTTGTAGTGCTTGTGTGGTCTACTTCAAGGTATCTTCCCAGACAGTCCCCTGTAGAGCAACTAGTAAGGCATACGGCATTCATCTGTTCTGGATGATATGTGCCATCCATCTCATTTGGGCTTTAATAATCAGGGACTCAGTGGTGCTGAATTCTGAACAATGTAAAACCTCAAGGTTGGGAACAGGATCTTGTCAATGAAAGCATGGAACAGAGTTCATGTGAAATTTCTCCAGTTATTTGGTATGCATATTATTTATTTTACAAAAATTATTTTACAGAATTCAGGACTCAATGACAGATTGAAATGTAAACATTATTGAATCCACAATCTAAACTTATTCGCCTTTACCACTAACAAGGGGATCGTGGGAACTTTAAAAAAATTGGACTGTTACCTCAATAAATCCATCAATAAATTTTGTGAAGACGGGAATTTCCTTCCTACAGACTTGTCAGAGTTTAGAGTTGCCACCACCACTAATTCTGGCAGTACTTTCTGCGACTTTTGATAACATAATATGATAAAATTATTTTCTTGGAAGAGTTAACAACAAGAGCATTTAATGTATTCAACCCCCTCCATTTTCTACAAGTGTGAATATCTGTGGTGTGAACAAAATTCAGTGTTTCAGACAGTCAGGCAGATTGGATATATATTCACCCAATTTTTCAGTAATTATATTAACATTCAGTGGTATTCTCACTCTTTTTGTAATGTGATCAACCTTCAAATGGGTCACAAATGGGGAATCTGCTTCAATATAGTTTTGGGCACACATTCAGAAGTAGTGCAGGTCAGACAAGTCAGGCTTGACTGCTGTCATTCTTGGAATGACACATGATTATGGTAGTCATGTTTTTGGTTGAGAAAATTCCTACTTGGTAGCAGTAATAGGATGGATGGGGAATTGCAACTGAAGGGCAGTAAACAGGGAAGAGCACTGAGTATGGATTGTATTTGCTTACTAAATCAATATATATATAGCTGCCCAATTGACATGTGAGTCAGGCCCAGTATACACAAATATAAAAAAAATATGTTGTCAGGGTTCTGACAGATGCCCTAATTAATTCATGAGCCTCGAGCCAATTTTCAAAAGAAATCCAATTATTTATTAGGAGCAATATGTCGGCACTTTCCCAAGTGCAGTTGGCTCTGCCCCACGTAATTTACTGCCCTATGATCCCGTTTCCCTCCTCCTCCCAGGGTACGTTATAAATCACATTCTCCAATGGAGCAGTTTCATGGGCTGTAGAAAACACGCCTCTCCAGCTGGCTCTAGTAATTTGAGATACAATTTGGAGAAAGGTACGTGTGGAATGTGCTTCTGGTCTTAGCAATCGAGCTGCTCCATCAGTTCTTTCCCCCTCCTGCCTATGGCAACTCGAGAACAGACCAGGAATGTTTTTTGAGTTGACACATGATACTTTCTTTCTAAATTAAAAATAATAAAACATATCATCCACAAGGTAATTTGATCCTTAATTCTCTGACCCAGAGCGCCTCTGTGATGACCAAGAGGTCACTTCTGTGCCATGTCGGGCTTTATGGGGCACACCCAGCACTGTGAATCACACCTTGAAACAAATTGCAGTTTGCAGTACAGTTTGTGCAATAGTGTTCCTCCACAAGAGCATCCCGAAGAGCGTTGGGATTCAAAAAGTTTTACTATCGGTTCAGTGGGCGTTGCTTGGTGGGCTTGCTTGGTGGCCGTGCCTACACTTTGAGTGCACGTGTGTGTGAAATGTGCACTTTGAGCAGGCACAGAGGCATTCCAACTCACCTCTTGCAAGCTTGCACTCTCCCGATCGCTTCAGCAGAGCTGTGCAGCACTCTGCTGTGTCACACAAACAGCTGCACTTCAAAAGCAAAGAAAAAGGTGAATATGGGAGCCTGGGCAGACAGGAAGGCCCAATACCAGAGTGGCAGAAAGAACCGTTTCGGTCTCTGCTGTTCAGCGCTGCTACCAGCTCGGCAGAACCGGTAGAATATCATCACTAGTCCATAACTACTTCTGCTGCACCATTTTGAACCAATAGTCAACAGCTGGATTCTAAGCCCCTGGTTATATTGGAAGCTAAAAGCAAGCCTGGATAGAACATATTGGGTAGGGTTATTGTGATGAAACAATAGATAGAAAAAGAGGCAGCATCTCCTGTCATTTTAGATTCAGAATCATAAGCCTTTTCCTCTGTGAAATGAATTTAAGGTGTTAAGCATGAAACTAATCAACTTTCTTGTATTAGGACTGATGTAAAAGAGTGGCTTTCTTTGGAAGGATTTAAAGTTTTACCCCACTGTAAGCTGCAGTTGATCCATTGAGCGTAAAAAAATAAATAAATATCTGAAGTTGCATCCATATGAAGAGTTTGAATCTAGTTTTTGGAAATCATTGCAAGTCACTTGTTAAAGTCTGTAAAATAGATTAGTTTCTAGCATTGAAAAATTCACAAACATCTGAGAAAACATATTGTTGTCCATAGTATCATCCATTCAGATACAGTGCATCCAGAAAGTATTCAGAGCCCCTTCATTTTACCAATTTTGCTATGCTGCAGCCTGATTCTACAGTTGTTGAATTTTTTTTTTCATTCATCTACGGTCGGCAGAGGTGGTATTCAGCATGTTATGACCAGTTTTGGAGAACCAGTAGCAGAAATTTTGAGTAGTTTGGAGAACTGGCAAATACCACCTCTGAGTGGCCCTGCCCCTATCTATTCTCTGCTTTTCAAGTCTCAAATGATTGGCTGGGTCTTCTTTTGTTGCCCTACACAGGAGAATGGAGCTGGAAAGCAGGTTAGTGGGGTGGGGAGGTAACCTTCCTTGCAGTAACCTTCCCCCAGGAGTGGGTTGGGAATGGAGATTTTACAATATCCTTTTCCTCCCACACCCACCAAACCACATCCACCAAACCACACCATGCCACACCCACCAAGCCACGCCCAAAGAACTGGTAGTAAAAAAAATTTGAATCCCACCACTGACATTCGGTACTCCATAATGACAATATGAAAACAGAAGTTTAGTGCTATGTGATGCTAAGGCAAGTCAATGCAGAATTTCAAATATACTTTTTTAAAAAGGAAGATTTTTTTCAGTGTATAGTTCCAAATGTAACCTGTAAATTTTATTGAATGCAGATATAGTTTACATTCCTTGTCTGGAACTCCAGCAGTTGTTACCATCAGCTGAAATGCTTCAGGTTGCATTGGATACCTCCTAGTTATGTGGAGAGAGTGATTCAGAAAAAGGAAGAACATATCAAAGAACATATCAATAGATGAGCAAACAAAAAGTAAATAAATTTAACTAGAGAGGAACAGAAACTTGTAACTATAAAGCATGACTAAAGGCAGCTTCTATTAGAGATCCTGTGGTGTAGTCATCAGCCATAATCCAGTAGACAAGTTGAATGGAATTGTGTAGCAGGTAGTCCTTGACTTATAACCAAAATTGAGCCCAAAATTTCTGCAACTAAGTGAGACATTTGTTAAGTGAGTTTTGTCCCGTTTACAACGTTTCTTGCCATAGCCTTGGTGGCACAGGGGTTAGAGTGCAGTACTGCAGGCTACTTCTGCTGACAGCTGCCTGGCTGTAAATTGGCAGATCGAATCTCACTGGCACAAGGTTGACTCGGCCTTCCATCCTTTCGAGGTGGGTAAAACGAGGACCCAAATTGTTGGGGGCAATATGCTGACTCTGTAAACTGCTTGCAATTGTCATAAGTGTGAAAAACAATCATAAGTTATTTCCAGTGCTGTTGTAACTTCAAATAGTCAGTAACTGAACTATTATAAGTCAAGGACCTCTTGTAGTTAGGCTAGAAGGCATAGGTTCCTGTGAGTAGTTAATTCTTTCTAATTTTTTACAAAAAGTGCTAATATAGTGTCCAGTTTCACGGGAGAAGCATTTGGTCATTCAGAAAAAAAAAGGCTGGTTTAAGGAAAGGAAAGATACAGTGCAAGAATATATTTTCTTAAAGAGGTCACCTTACTGAAAAATATGGGGATTTCATGGTAAATTAATATATACTCTGATTGCTAGGATGAAAAAATCCCATAACCAGCAGAATATATCCCTTAATAACCAGAATTACCTTAAAATATCCACAAGGAACTGCTGATTGAAAAGGGAAACTAGTGTGCTAGAGAAATAAATCCTCTAGGGAGGAAGGTAGCAGGACTGCAAGAAGACATGAAATAGTCCTGGACCTAAGAAAAATGGATAATTTCCCTGAGGTAATGATCAGGAAGCAGAAGCTCATACGCTTTAAATATATGTTGCATGTAAATGATGAACTGGAAAAACGATAATGTTTGGAAACCTTAGGGGGAATATAAAGAAGCAGCAACAGATAAGGTGGATGGATAGGATAACAATAAAATAAATTAAAAGAATGCCCTTGGAACAGGTAAAAGGTAGCAGAGACAGTAATTATTTTCTGGTATCAGCGTCAGGGACAAAGACTGACTCAGTAACATCCGGCTAAGTAGTGTTGGGATGGGAGTTTGGACCTATTCTCCTTACACTGATTTTCATCTCATTTGGGATAAAATGCATAATTTTCCCAATAGGATTGAGCTTTAGGATAAAGATGATGGTCTCTGCCACAATCAAATGAACATGCACACGCATACTGTGTGTGCTGTGTTTTTTTCCCCTCTACATGTGTCTTTTCTCTGATCAATCCTTTCAAAAAGTTCTCCTTTTAATCTCTAAGTAACTGCATAGTATACCACTTATTTTTTAGTTTCACTTGTTTACTTGGTAGCTAAGACATTGATAGGTGCCTGGTGTGGTTGCCTCTTGTTTTGGCAGAGAGTTTTATTCACATCAATATTATCCTTGAATTGAGCTGTCTTAGGAAATATACCAATATAGAGATTCTTCCACCACTATAGGCAATAGTTATTTCATTATCTTCACAGAACATGTTATAGATCACTGCATATCAGAACAACTAGACACAAGAACAGTTTCTTCCTGAATGCCATCACTCCGCTAAACAAATAATTCCCTCAACACTGTTCAACTATTTACCAAGTCTGCATTACTACTACTATTAATCTTCCCATCCTTCCTTTCACCCATCTCCTCCCACTTATGACTGTATGACTGTAACTTTGTTGCTTGTATTCTTACGATTTTATTGACTGTTTCCTAGTATGATTTGATTGCTTATTACACCCTATGACTATTTTCTATATACTATATACCCTATGACCCTATACATAAGGTGTTGTACCTTGTGATTCTTGACGAATGTATCTTTTCTTTTATGTACACTGAGAGCATTTGCACCAAGACAAATTCCTTGTGTGTCCAATCACACTTAGCCAATAAAGAATTCTATTCTATTCTATTCTATTCTATTCTATTCTATTCTAGTTTCATAATTAAAATGTGTTCATTTTTCTATTCCTTGCAACAGGCAACGGAAAACATCTACTAACTGGCACAATTATGGAGAGGTGTATACCAGCTTTCACACAGACAACACTGTTAGCAAAAATTAGCACCCATTAATTACGACACTGGATTCATTATTATTTTGTTGAGACAAATCCACAGTTGAATGATCCTGAGCACATTAAGTCTGGAGTCATTTCTACTAAATTTAGTGGAATGTATGTCTCTGTAAATATGCTCATGATTACTGTCTAAGCCTGGCTAATTTCATAGCTCAATATGAACTCCCTAAAGTCATTCAGTGTAAACTTAGGAACACCTAGAGTAAAAATGTTATTTTCATGGTTAGATGAAGACACAGTTACTCCCAAGAAAGTTTGATTCCTGAATTCAAACAGAAGATGTTTGAAAAAGATATTTCAAGAAAAGAAGAGCATAGAATGTCAGAAAAAAATATATCAAGAGACACCAGTTAGGCCCAAGTTGAAATTCTCTACTCTTGAAATGTAGAATGAAAATGCTGCTGGGAAAGTGCTTGAATGGGCATCAAGCATCTAAATAATGTATAGATATGAATCCAATCTGATAATGCAGGTGAGTTGGGTTGGGGTGCCTGCCCACCATTCATATGGCCCAGTTGCAAATAGGCCACGCCCTGGTAGTGGCATGTTGCCCACAGGTTGGGCACCCCTCTCTACATATTCATTTAAACTATTGGCAGCACAGCTCACTTCTACTGATATGCTGAATACCATTTTTCTTTTCTTTTTTTTCTGAAGAGAATGTTCAGAGTATTGCGGTGTAAATTCAGTGCCAGAAAAGTAAACACAGATGACTGAAGCTTCATTTAACTTCTTTATAAACATATAGAGAAAATTTTACAATACCAGTTGTAGATTTCTCCAACATGGAGCAAACCCAAGAAGCAGACATGTTACAGGTTCAGAGCAGAACAGCAACTCAGCAGCTCAGAAAGAGATATCAGTTTCACTTTAGTTCAGCAGGCAAGCAAGACACACAGCAATGGAGAGAAGCAGTTTCATATTCAATAGACAGACTCAGAGCTTAACATAGCTTCAGAGCTTAATATAGAGCCACGCCTAGACTACTTCTAGTTTCAGTTTCCAAACAGTCCTCATTGGCTGATTTAGTTGTTATGCCTATTCATTAGCTGACCTTGTTACCATGCTCTAGTCTATCCCAGTTCATGAATATACTCTGACAGAGATTTGATGGCCAGATACTTTTCTAGGGGAAGCAGATAGATTTGAGAAAAACTGACCTTAGTGCAAACTGAGGTATGATCAAATCACATAAAAATTATACTTTATCCAAGTATATTTGCTCTTTATCCAAGAGCAAAACTGCTGGTGCTCCCTTTCTAAAGAATAAAACTATTGTGGGATTAACCATGCATACGGAGTGCCTTAATTCTCAATAAGTGGAGTTCTTTAATAATGACACATTCATGTCACAATAGCTTGCCGTGAATGAATCCTTTTTAAGGAAGGGCACTCTGCTTGCTGTACTTAGCTTGAAGGTTAAAAACTTAAAAGCATTTGCTTGGCATTGATTTATTTCTAAATTTCCTCATGTTTTTTTCTACCACCAGCCCTAGCTGTCTATGATTAGACATACATAAAAATGAGTAAGATTGTACTTCCCCCAGCTAATTCTTATTAATCCAGTCTGGTTACCCCCAATTTGATAAATGTCTGCAGTTATAAAAAAATAATGAGATAATTAGTTTTGAAGTGTACCTACGAAGAATAGCCTTCTCTTGTACAAAAATGATGAAAATTGGTTTGCAGAAGCATTTTCTTTAGAGGTGCAAAGGTGAAATGTAGCATGTCCTAAAGATAAATAGCTCTTGCCTTTATGTGGATGGACACTATACGGGCAGTCCTCACTGAGTACTAGTCGCTTAACAACCAAAGTTATAACAACCTCCCTAAAAGATACTGATGACCAGGTTCTGGAGTTCTGATGGTCGCATACGTACACACATGGTCAAATGATTGCATTTTAGGCCCCCATGTTTGAGAGAGCTCATTTTGGGTGCTCATATTTACTGTTTGCATTTTCTGCGGTCACATGATGGTGGGTTTTTTTTAGGAAACTTCCCCCCTTCCCCCAAGTCTCTGGTGTTTACTTCTGATTTCCAGCAAAAAATGCACTTTGGATAAAATGGATTCATTTTTCATTTCACTCTTGGCATACTGCATCCAGTTTTGGTCGCCACGATGGAAAAAAAGATGTGGAGACTCTAGAAAGAGTGCGGAGAAGAGCAACAAAGATGTTGCTAAAACATATAAAGAATGGTATGTCTAGTTTGATGAAAAGAAGGACTAGGGGTGACATAATAGCCATGTTCCAATATCTCAGGGGCTGCCACAAAGAAGAAAGGGCCAATCTATTCTCCAAAGCATCTGAAGGCAGGACAAGAAGCAATGGGTGGAAACTGATCAAGGAGAGAAGCAACTTAGAACTAAGGAGCAATTTCCTGACAGTTAGAACAATTAATCAGTGGAAAGAATGGCCTCCAGAAATTGCTAATGTTCCAAAACTGGAAGTTTAAAAAAAGAGATTGGATAACCATTTGCATGATGATCTGGGGCATGGCGCAAAGGCAATAAAATTACATAAGTAAGAAAAATCCCTTTAATACCTCCAACTTTGCCCCCAATGTCCAGGTTACCTTCGGCTGGAGAAAAAACTCTCCCAAAAACAGTCTTTAAGTGGAGGTAATTCAGTCCGAAAACGAAGTACATATAAACTATAAATAAAAATCCACACAAACCATGCTGCAGCAATTAACTGGACAGGGCAGGATAAGGAATTGCACACTTCAAAGGCCAACAAAACACACACAGTTGAGAAGACATCAGAAATCCAGATAAGCCTCGACAATAAAAGATAACTCATGATTTGCTTCCAACAAGTTGCTGTGTGCAACCTCCCTTTTTAAGCACTGTGTTCCCAGCTGTGGCTAATGAAGGGAATCAGGGCCCTTTCCTCCCCTGTAAGCCATGCAACTCATGTTGCTCCCTTCTCCATTCCTCCCTGCATGCCCTAGCATGAAGAGGGGGTGAGCCTGGATCTTCCTCTGAATTCCCTTTGCCTTGCTCTACCTCTCCCCTGCACTGCCTAGCTGGACTGTGCCCTTCCCCAGTTTCTTCCAATCCACCGGAGCCACACTTCCACTCCCTGTCAGCTGCTTGGCCTCCCTCTCAGAATCAGATTCTGATAGGGGCATGGCAATTTGTCTGATGTTTTGTATGCAAACATCAAACATCAAATGTTTTGTATGCTCTAGTTATTAGTGTAATATTACCAGATAAAAAGCTATGTAACTCTTAACGCCTTTTTGGCTATGTAGTTACAGTGGGCTCTAGGACTTAGATCATTAGAGATGAGTATTCTAAGATCCTTGACAGAGTTTGGATCACTTAATCCAGAGTTTGGATCACTTAATTAGTATGATTAAAAGATTTAATCATACTAATAAATAAAAACAATGAATCAATTAATCATTTGATAAAAATTAATCATTTTAAAGAAATTGATTTGGAGATATCATTATCTAATCTTTGATACAGGTCTTGAGATAGAAAGTTATAAGTTTTGAGATACTGAAAGTAATGAAGTATTATTGAGAGTCACTAATTGTTACCCACTAATTGGGTTATTGCTTTGCTTAGCTGTTGCTGATATCTGAGAAGAGGTTTATAACTCCTAATAAACTGGCAGGAGGCCTCTTTTCAAAGAACAGCAGTTTCTTTGTGTCAAACACTCTTTCCTCTTGAAAACTCTTTCCTCAGTGAGCAAGGGTTTACACTCTCTTGTTTTGTAGATTGAGTTTTTGAGATAGTAAAGATGCAAAGATGCCGAAGGCGGGGGGATCTCTGGCCCCTTCTTCAGCAGAGATAAACAGAACAATTCATGGGGAGGCAACAGGAAACTTTTAGTCTTTGTTTTCCCTTGATGAATGGGATTTCTGCCCCCCTCCTAGTTAATTAAATACACTTTCAAAGTTTGTTCCTTTAAGAGAAAGAGGCATGTAGATGTAAGAGAAACTGGCAATTCAAACAGTTATATTTTTTCACTCTTGGCTTCAATATACTTCTGCTTCTATCACAGGAAATAAAATTGCTTCCAATCTTCACAGGAGTTCAGCTATAACAAAACTAAGTTACTGTCCTTTTAAAGAGGGAGTCTGGATTAGCAATTTGGTGAAGAGGGAAGGAGGGGCGGTGGCAGGGGGGGAAGGTAGTCTGCTTCACACCCTGGCTGCAAATGTCTGAAGACCTACTCACAGCTCCCGGTGCTCACCACCCTGCAAGGATGGGATGAATCTCACCGTCTCACCGCCCTGCAATCATTGAGCGCTTTTGAATAGAGTGCTTTTGAATTTAACGCTTACCAAGGTATGAGCTCTTTTCTGGCGTGCTGGTCAATGATGGGAGGAATCGGAAATCTCCTAGTACTTTTGAATTGAGTGTTTACTGAGGAATGGAGCTCTTTTCTGGCTTGCTGGCAAGTCTCGGGGCGTTAGGCTTTCTACCTCGCCAGCTGGACCCACAGGGATTTGAGGGCTTGTTGCCTGGCGCTGCCCATGCCCGTCAGAGCTCCTCACGCTGCCGCTACTGCTGCCACCATGTTGATCCCCATCAAAAGATCCCCATCTTGATTTCCAGGTCAAATCTCTCCTCATTCAATTTCCGTCCCTTGTTCCTTGTATGGCTTTCAGGTGCTTTAGAAAATAGCTTGATCCCTTCCTCTCTGTGGCAGCCCCTCAAATATTGGAAGACTGCTAT